TTGTTATTCTTTATTTTTCTTGTTTTGTTTAAAAAGTCTTTTTTGAATCTCTCAATATGCTATTTTTTCTGTCTTTAGTATCTTTCTTCCTTTCCTTAGCAGGAAACTCTGTCTTGATTTTCTGCCTCTTTTCTTTCCCCTTCTCATATCCCTTTCCTGTCTCTTATTTTTCTCTTCAACTCTTCTTTCCAGACATTTTTTTTGTCATTGATTTTTCCCTTCTGAAATTCACTTAGTGTGGAACTTATCCATTTTATGTATTTATTTTTATTATCATTTTATTTGTGTGGGGGGGGGGTGGAGAGATGGGAGAGAGGGAGAGAGAGAATCTCAAGCTCAGTGTGGAGCCTGACTTGGGGCTCGATCTCACAACCCTAGATCATGACCTGAGTCAAAGTCAAGAGTCGGACACTTAGCCAACTGAGCCACCCAGGTACCCTGACTTAGTGTGGCATTTATGTATAAATAAATTTTTGTATTCCAAATTAGTTGAATAAGATTTATAGTGTCTATTTACAAGTTTGAAGTTGAATATTGAGTTGAATGCTTTGTGCTTTTAAAAAACTAACCAAATTGGTTTTATTTATTTATTTATTTTTTATTCTTATGTTAATCCCCATACATACCAAATTGGTTTTAATTTGAATGTTCTCCTCAACTGATTCACTGATTCTCCCTCTCCTGTCATCTAGTAAAAACAACTTTTTTTCTGTGTGTGACTTGGGACAACTTGTTTGTACAAAAATAGACATGGATACATAGCTCTTTGGTAGGAAAAAAAAAGTCTTCAACAATGCTAGATTCTTTTTTTCCATGAAAAAATTAATTGTGCATAAGCACACTATAAAATTTTAACTGTTCTAATTTACTTTTTCCAACAGAGAAGTTTTGCTGATGTTTCCTTTCAGAAAATATGGCTATGTCATAGTCTCTTTTAAAGCATCGCACACAACTCATAAACTGCTTCCATAAAATGCAAACCTACAGAGACACTGTCCTGTATTCTTTGAGCCTGTAACATTCTTTAAAATTTCCCATTTCTTTTCTTACAGCAGTATAGTCATTAATTTTATTTTCCCTTCCCTTTTATTCTATCCTCTATCTTCATTTTTTTTTCCAATTTGTGCCATTTCTCTCTCTAGATGTATTTTTACCTCGCTTTCTTTAAGTCTTTACAGATTGGATAACACAGATTAGTTTTTCAATGTCTTCTGCCTCATTTGGTTTTTCTTTTTTCATGTCCATGTCACATTCTCTCATTCCTTTTTTTATATTTCTGCTTAATTCACCTCTATGGCCTTCCCTAGGCCCAATTCAACAACTTCTAGCAGTCCTTAGAAGAAAAGAATTCTTTTCTAGCACTTCATTTCTGTAATCATTTGAAACCTACAAGTCAAGACATTTGGAAAAAACTATGTTTCAATGCTTCATAATGAAAATTCTTCTTTTCAATCTATTTCAACTGTCCTCAGAGATACTAAAAATTATTTGAAATTATAGTTGGTTGAATAATGCATTAAAATGAGTATGGAGAGTGAAGAATCAGGGTATGTCTGGAGCCAGGGTGAGCTGCAAATAATGCAAACAGTGGGAATATCTCAAGATGGGTTTTCAAATTTTTTCTATTTTTTTAAGCTCTAAAGACTGAGTAGAATAAATTAATGTTAGAAGGAATAGATGAGAACTTGGGGGAAGTCTGAGAGTTATAGCTCTAATCTGTCTATTGTAGTTTCTTTGGAGTTTCTAATTTAATGTTTATATATCACATAAATCACTACTTCATAGTGTTACCATGTTCATTTTTGTATAAAATATTCTCCCAAGTTTCCAAGTAAAATAGTTGATTCTATTAGGTGACTCTTTTTCTTCTGTGCCTCCCAGTTCATCTAGCTCCTTGTTCAAATATCTATAAGTAGAAGTGCCCAGTTTGATAACTTCAGCATGAGAGTAAGAAAGTTGGGGTGTCTAGTCCAACTTGTTCACTGTCTTGTTTCCTATCAGAATTCCTATCATTGACTGGAAATAACGGTGTTAGAATGAGGTAGATGGTGGTAGTGGAGGTGGTGGCTGCCTCTCTGATAGATGGCTATTTCAAAATGCAGTGGATTGTTTGACTAAAGAATGAGTTGCCTTGGGGCACCTGGGTGGCTCCATCAGTTGTGTCTGCCTTCTGCTCAGGTCATGATCCCAGGGTCCTGGGATCCAGCCCCACATCGGGCTCCCTGCTCAGCAGAGAGCCTGCTTCTCCCTCTCCCCACAGCTCCCCCTGCTTGCACTCTCTTGCTCTCTCTCTCTCTCTCTAATAAATAAATAAAATCTTAAAAAAAAAAGAATGAGTTGCCTTGAGTAGAGGTGTTTAAACAGAGACAATGAGACTATATTGAGAACTTAAGCCATAGTTGTTGAATAAGACTGGATCTATCAAAGAATCTGGCTTTTATGGTAGAATAAAAGGAAACTTTTATTTTCCTATGAGACAGTCTGTTTTTAAATTTATCACTTACACTAAGATATAAGAAAATCTAGTAGTATTATTAGGTATTTAAATTAATTCAACAGAATAATAACTCCAGTAGTAGCAAAAATTGGAGATAATATTCTTGAATATAAAATTTACTGATGAAATAATTGTAAATAAAAAATGTAGTAGAGTGCTTGAGTTTTACTGGGAATAATATTAATTGCCCTTTCTAAAATATAAACAAGCAAAAACTGGGTTAGGAGTATATTGTCCTCTGGCTAGGTAGCAATGTGGTGTTGGGTAGAGAAAATGAAGAGTTCACTGGAGAAAGAAGGGCAGAGAAGAGCTGAGGATGGGCTGAGGAGTTTTTTCTTCTGTCCTTGACCTGTTGCATTGGTTTTCACTGGATCATATTACCCGCTACTGCCACAGCAAACTAATCAAGGATGCTCTTGGGACCATTTTCAGGCATTCTTTATTTCTATTACTTTCTTGGGTTCTGTGTAGCTTGGAAGTCTATGGGAATATATCTGCATTCCTTCCTTATTTAACATTTACAAAGACATGCTCTGAGGTTGGAGGTGGCATAAATAGTTTCTCTCTTTTTAAATGCTGATACATCTAATACCTTGCTACTCAAAATATATCTTATGGACCAGCAGCACTCTGCAGCCTGGAAATTACGTGGGAGCTTGTTAGAAATGCAGAATCTCAGAATCTCTCCCCACCCTGATCTACTGAATCATAATCTGCATTTTAAGGAGATCTTCATGGGATTTATATACACATTAATATTTGAGAAGTACTGATTTAACATATTAGTTTGCATTCCTGTAGGGTGTCATCTATTTCCAATGTGTCAGCAATTTCCTGGAATGGGTTTAATTGGGGCTGTGCTCTCTTAATTAATCTGTTAATACATTATCACATTTAATCCCCACAACAAACCTTCACAATACCTTCATCCTTATATTGCAGATGAGAAAATTAAGTAACTTATCCAAGGTCACACAGCTAGTAAATGGTGGACTTGAGTCTGACTCGTTCTCAAATCTTTTCTCTTTTCTTACACCACACTGATTTTTCTTGAACTTAATCATGAATAATTGTTTATGCATTAAGAGAATAAAGCCCATTAAAAAATAAGTTATAAAGAGAACTTTTAAAGAGGCCTTTCAATCATTCAAAGATTATCTCAGAGTGTATCACACTTCTGGTGATAAAGCAAAGAAGACAGAATGAAGTGCCCTTGGTCCCTGGTTTCTGGTGTAATTTGGGGGAAGTGAAAGGACTGCATCTTGTCACGCACATACCTTATCCTGCCCATCAGCTGACTTGCATCTTGTTGCTGCTGAGGCAGGTTCCATCTGTTTAAGCCTGTGTTGAGCCAGATGCAAAGGGTAGCACTGATTGTATTATGTTGAGGCTGCCCATATGCCTTCATGCAAACTGCAGTTCAAGAGCTGTAAAACAGTTTGCATTCTAAATCTATCCGATGGCTTTGAACACAACCAGTGTCAGTAAGGCTATTTGAATGCTTTATATTTGGCAAAAGAGTGTAGAACTTATGGCCACCAACCAAATTATTAAGAAATATTGTATTTTCAGGATAGCTATACTGTCTGGGGAGAGGTGCAAGAAACCCCATAAAACACTGGAAATGACCCAGATCACCCTTTGTTCTTGGAAAACCCCTTTCAGCTGCAAAAATAGAGAATAAAACCCAAAGCAACTGACATGTGCTTCGAGGCTGGAGGATCCTGTGTCTCATTAGCTCTGGGGTTATAACCCAGATGGACTTGTTTCAAGCTGGGTAACATCTAGTCTGGGCTATGCACACTATACAAACATTTCTTGGGGGAGCTAGATAATGATTTAAAAATGATCAGTGAATTAGAAGCATGAAATGAGTGTGGGCCATGTACCAGTAACTTTAGAACTCGGTGTGTATGGGGGGGCCCAGTTTCCAGTCAGATGAAAATAGGGGAAGCTCTAATGTTTCTTGATCAGTCTCAGGGCTATTCTCATACTTGAAGGGGACTGTTGGCTCAACCTTTTATGGAGTGTGTGAGTTTCTCAGTGAAGACATACCTCACTGAGGTCTTTTTCTTGTGCATTGGCCAACCCTGCTTTCTCTAAAATGATGACCTTGAGAAGCTTCAAGTTTAGGAGCTTTCAGAGCCGGATTGGCCGCCTGGGGGCGGGGCCTGATAGGGGCGCCCTCCTCACGTGCTCCAGTCACCCTGTCCTTCCCTCTAGCTCTCTTTCTGACGTTAGCAGAAGACTGAGACTCAGAGTGAGAGAGGAGTAATGGACCCCAAGGGCCCATTAACTTGGAGGCCCCACCCCTTTATTCAGAGTCACCCAACCCGGAGAACTCAGAGTCATCCTCAAGAGTAAAGTTCTTTGAGTTATATATATATATATAAAGGGCAAACCCATTCTAAATGTCAGTCCAATATCCACGGGGGCGAGAGACAGCGGGTAATTAGAAGCAATTAGTTGTCCCCCTGCCGGGAAGCCGGGCAATTACCTTTTTCTCTCTTCCTCTTCCGTCCTTCCTTCTCCCGTGGAAGCGATAGAAGTGTTTTGCTCCCTAAGCAGCAGTGTACGCTGAGCTGGCACCGGAATGAGGGATGAACTGAGCAGGATTCGGTCTCTTCCTCCCACCGCCGCGGTAGCCGCGGGCAGAGCAGTGCATTGTGGAGGCTGAGCGCGCCGCTGCTGCTGGAGCTGCTGTCCCGGGATCGCGCGGCGGGGAGCTGTCCGAGGTGCTGACCGTCCCTGCCGGCGCCCTGCGCGCCCATCTGCTCCCATCAGACCCCTCCAAGTTCTGGCCTTTCTCCCTCCCCTCCGTCTGCCTGCCTGTCCTCCTCACCTAGGGACGTAGCGGCTGGAGGAAATCATGGTGTTCGCTCCAGGTATACCTGCACCTTGCTTTTTCACCAGGTGTCCAGGCGGGGAGCGGGGAAGAGAAGGGAGAGCATAGGAAGAAACGGCCTTTACCTTGCCTCCCATCTGCGCGTTTTGGAGTTACTGTCTGTAAGCTAGGGGCGGGAGAGTGCCTCTGTGCGGAGTCTTCGCCCCTCTCCCCAGTCCCGTCTCATCTGTCTTCTAACCATCCCCAGCCGTAGTCCCGCCGCTGCTCTGGCCTCCTGGTTCCTCCACATCCCATCGGAGCTCAGGCACTTTAAGAACTGGGACCTCTGCCAGACGCACAGGCGCCTACGTGGGTGGGAGGGTGGAGAGATCCGGCCAGGAGTCGTGGGCTTCGGGATACTTCGGTGGGAATCCTCTTCTCTGCCACTTACCCCTCTGCAAAAGTGGCAAAGTGACCCGGTTCCTCCCGATGTCCTGAGGAAAGAAGTGGGTGAAGCCCACGGGAGTGGGCCGAAGGGCAGAGGAGCATTACTCCTCAAGGAATTAGACCTGAAACTCTGGCAGGAGGCTGCAGCGCAGAGGCTGTTACTGCGGCGCCGCTGGAGGCTGCAGCGTCTTTTTGGAGCTGGCGGTGAAGGACTTTGGTCCCTTTGCTGCTATCTGTGGCTACAAGTTGGCGAAGAGTCCGATTTGTCTGCGGTAGACCAGCTTACTGGTGTGTGCATGTGTGTGTAGTTGAGTAATGGGTGTGTAAGTTGAGCAGCGGGGGAAGCATGGTCATTGTTCACCTACGAAGCTGTCTCTAGGGATAGATACAAGGTCTTTCTCTCAAATTCCAGGCTCTGCTTTCATTAAAGACTGCTGTGGGAAAAAGGGGAGTATGGAAAAGAGTAACGGGACTAAAACTCTAAGTTTGTGATGGTTCTTTCACTTGAAAGGTTTGTTTGCATTTGCTGTAGCCATTGGACCTCAGATAGCTGGGGAAGAAAAGTATAATGCAATTTTAAAAGGGAAGAATTGAGTCTGGGTTTCAAAAATTCAAATAGCAGAACTTGAGAAGGGGAAGTTCCCCCTACCCCCCCCCCAAACAGGATGTTAGCTGAGGAGGTGGGAGTGAGTTTCTGTTGGTTCTGACACTCACCACAGGCAGTGACTCAGAGGAAAGTCCAGAGGCCCTTCTGCTGACTATCCCAAATAATTCAAGCGGGGAAGTCGTTCTGTACAGTGAAAGATATTCAATCAGCACAGGATCTGTGAAGCTGAAAAACAATAGTTCTTCGTTGCATTTATAAACCTCTTACCACTTTATAAAGCACTTTTATGCCATTATTTCATTTGATTTTCAAATTACCCTCTGAGGTAAGCAATATCATTTCTCATTTACCAGCCCCAGAGGGGCTGCTTTCAGATAGTCTTTCCAGCCTCAGCTGGAGTTTTCTGAGTCCTCTGATTATCTCAGAACCTATCTTTTTGACAAAATGCCTTTTCCGTTTCAGGGGTAGCTGCTTTTTGGTCCAGGGTCAGATGTAGCCAAAGGGAAATGTCCTCCCACTTCTGAGGTGAGGATGGGCTAGTGTGGTCCAGAGTTAGGGTTGTTGAGTGAAGTTAACTAGGCATTTTCTAAAGGCATGATTGTGGGTGAAAGACTGTGTAATGAACGAGTAATTCCTGGGGAGGACTGAACTGTCTAAAGCAGACTAGTGCTTGGTCAGGGCTTTACTTTTCCATTTTTCTTCTAAGTTTCATATTAGTTTTTTTTCCCCCTGCAGGGAAAGTAGAAGTTATTCATAACTGTCAGAGATGGTATAAATTGACCTGGATAGGATATATTACAGAAACCTGTCAGGAAACACTTTTTGGGTCATTTCTTCAATTTTGAGTTTCTCTTAAAAATTATAAGCATTTTGGGGCAATAAGAATAGGGTGCTAAAAATATTGTGTCAACTTACCTTTTCATTTACTGATCACATGCCTTCCAACTCATATAGTGATTTTATTCTGAAAGAATATCAGAACAATGAATTGTTTTTGAACTCTGCCAGATTTTCATCATTACAGCCTCATTTCCAGGACTATTGCTTTTCTGAATCTCTATAATTAGGGATCCAGATGTTTTGTGCTAGTCAAGGCAAATACTCCCCCATTTTCTCCAAGCCACCCAGGAAGGGAGGGAACAGAGGCATGTGCTATGATTATTCCAAAATTATTAAAGTAAAATAAAATAAAGTAATAATCCAAAATGAATATAATAATAAATTAACATTGAGCTGTTCATAATTGGGTCCGTGAGTACTGTGCCCTTCTAAACCCATTGTAACTCTTTGGATTTTATCAAAGGGAAACAAGAATCCTAAGGTCTACTTCTGGCCTTGCCTCTGTGGATTGACGTGCTTTGAAAGATTCTGCTGCCTCTTTGCTTACCTTAAAGGCAAAGGTGAAAAGTGACAGAGATTCAGGAAGCAAGTTTCAGTCCAGAAGTGCAATGTAAAGAGGGAGAAATGATTGGGAATTTATATAACTCTACTTAGGAGTCACTCTTATTACATGGTATAAAACAACCTTGCATTCTCTTGTTTCAATTAGTCTACAGATTATAAGGAACAGGGCTTAAGTTAGGCAGGGTCTTTGAATGGTTTCTCGGTTTACATAGGGCAGACAACTCAATTCTATACTTTTCTTCCTTCTTATACCATTCATAGGCTTTGTAATTTAGGAGGATTTTAATTTTGTGCATTTTAATATTTAAACCCCTTAATAGTAAGTGACCATGACTACTAATTATTTAAGGATTCAGTCATCTAAAATCTATCATGCATTTCTTCTTCCCTCTAAAGGAATGATACAAAATTAATAACAGTTAAATGAGGAACAAAGTATAAATATATTAATTTCTCTTTAAGTACCACCTATCCCTAAATACAGATTAAACTAAGCTGAGGCACATGGCTGAGGCAAAAAACAAAATGAGGCCCGTTGCTTTTCCTAAATCTCTTATCTATTCCTCCTCCTTCCTTCTCCCAAAACTGAAGGTGGAATCTTTGTAGAGCAATATGAGAAGACTTAGAAGCATATCAGCAGTGCCAAAGGAAAGAGGGTAAACACAATCAGTATGGAAAAATATTTTGGCTCTGGTGCATAGTACTGAAGTGATCCAGGTTACTTAGTCTGTGGCTATGAAAAAGCTTCCAATTGGGAGAAAAAAAGTTTTGGGGTGTCTGGACTTTACATAAGGTGCTGCTGGTTTTGTGGGGGAAAATCAAGGCATTATTACCAATTCGTGGACAAAGTCAAAGTGGAAGAAAGAACAAAAACCACTGGGCGTAGGTGTTGAAAGTAAAAGAGAATACAAGAAAATTTCAGGTATTTCTTGGCCTATTCTAGGGTGAGAAAGTGTATGTTCACAGATCCAAATGTTTTTTCAGTGCCCTGGTTTCATCCAAAAAATTCCAGACTCTGAACAATCAGATTAGCAACTCCTTCTCTCCCGAGGAAGAGCTAATAAAGAGTAGATTGTGAAGTATAAAGTGAGAACCCAAGTTTCCTTATCCTTGGGCCATCCCCCACATCCCTCATTCAAGAATTAGTGTACCTTTTTTTGTGGATGGACCTAGTATATACTTCACTGTTTTGGATTACCTTCAGGTAAGATGTATTGTCAAAAGAAAGATCTTTCTTCTCGTACATGAATTAGACAAGGTATGATAACAAGGATTTCGAAGTGAAATAAAAATGGTGTAATCATAAGCAATTGAATAGCCAGCTTCTTGACTTCTAAGATTAGTTTGAAAAACATTTAGCAACAATAATTATACCGAGAGCTATTAAAATATCTAAGAAAATATTTATTGCAAGGTAGTTATAGCTTTTATTTATTTATATAAACCTCTTACCAATTCCTGAGAGATCAATGAATAAATAAATTATTTAACAGACTGTCTTAACTTTAAGGTTTACAATCTGCCAACTTGGGCAAATAAATTATCTTCTGTTAGCATAAATTTTTTTTTACTTTTATTCATTTATTATTTTAAAAAATTACATACAGTTAAATGGTCTGTAACAAGTTGACTTTCAGATATGTTGTGAATTATAGGTTAAAGTTTGGTTTTTTATATGTATGTTCAATTATTATTTTTTAAAAAGATTTTATTTATTTGAGAGAGAGAGAGAAACAGAGAGAGCAAGAGCACAGAGGGAGAAGCAGACTCCCCACTGAGCAGAGAGCCCAATGTGGGGCTCAATCCCAGGACCCTGAGATCATGCCCTGAGCCAAAGGCAGATGCCACCCAGGTGCCCCTATGAATGTTCAATTATTCTAATACCATCTGTTGGCAAGATAATATCTCTTTGTTGAATTACCTTTGTAACTTATTAAAAGTTAACTGGCTATATTTCTGTGGGTCTATTTCTGGACTCTATTCTATTTCATTCATCTATATGTCTATCCTTCCACCAATACCATGCCATCTTGCTTACTATAGCTTTATAGTAAGTCTTAAAATTAAATAGTGCAATCCTTCTTGTATTTCTCCTTTCAAAATTGTTTTGGCTGTAGTAGTTCCTTTGACTTTCCATATAGATTTTAGAATCAGGTTGCCTATATCTACATAAAATGAAATCTACTAATCAGTTTGTGGAGAATTAATATCTTAAACATGTTGAGTCTCTAGTCCATGAACATGATAGGTCTCTTCATTTATTTAGTTTTTCTTTGATTTCTCTCATCAGTATTTTGTAGTTTTCAGCATATAGATCTTATATATGTTTTGATAGATTTATACCAAAATATTTTTTTGGGGGGAGGAAGTTACTATAAATGGCATTTAAAAACAATTCAATTTCTAAGAGTTCATTACTAGTATAGAAATGTAGTTTTTTTTTTAAATGTTAATCTTGTTTCCTATGATCTTGCTTACCTCTGTTATTCATTGTAGGAGCTAACTTGTAGATTTCTTAGGATTTTTTTTAAAGATTTTATTTATTGATTTGACAGAGATAGAGAGAGAGTGAGCATAAGGAGGGGGAGCTGTGGAGGGAGAGG